TGTCGACGAAATGACCCTGTCGACGAAATGGCCTGTCGACGAAACAACCCTGTCGAGGAAACGGCCTGTCGACGAAATGACCTAGTCGATGAAATGGCCTGTCGATGAAGTGGTGTCGATGAAATGGCCTGTCGATGAAGTGGTGTCGATGAAACGGCCTGTCGATGAAGTGATTGTCGATGAAATGAATGCGACTTTGCCGTTGTACCAGCATAGCCGCTTTTGACCACTGTTTGGGACACTTATTGTTATCACATGCCATTAAATTTGCTTTTGTAACTTAACTTCATCGTTCTTTGTGTGTTTAAGAACATAAACTTTGACGCCCTCTAGCGGTTTTGGGTTTTGTTTTCGACCATGCTTTCTTTGATAAAAATTGTTTGTCTGGGTGTGTACTATCACTTCCTAAAATTTTTCCCATCTTTTTAGAATCACCCTGTATATCGTTATTATTACTTTGAAGCCTAAAATAAAGAGATTCTGATATAAATTTTGGGAAGTAATAATTTAAAGCTCTCATCATTAAGTATGACTTATTATCATTCGCCTTATTAAATATATTATTATTATTTTTTAAAGCTTAAAGTAATGAGATTCTTGTATCAATTTCAGAAAACAATGACTTAAATCTAGAATTATTAAGTGTGACTTATTAATCGCATCATTACATATATTATTATTACTTTAAAGCCTAAAATAAAGAAATTTTGGTCTAAATTTTTGGAAGCAATAACTTAAAACTTGAATCATTAAGTATAACTTACAATTCCACACAACATTAAATACATTATTATTATTATTATTATTATGAAACATAAAATAAAGAGATTATGGCATCATAAAATTGGAGTTTTAAGTTAATAACTTAATGAAACCGATTACTTAGAACTAACATAAAACTCGCATCATGAAGTGTGACTTACTATAACTCGCCTCAGTAAATATATTATTATTATTTTTCAAAGCATAAAATAATGAAATTCTAGTATCAATTTCAGGAAACAATAAGTTAAAACTCGAATCATAATGTATGATTTACTGTTATTCGCATCATTAAATTTATTATTATTATTATTTTGAAGCATAAAATAAAGAGATTCTAGTACCAATTTCCGGAAGCAATAGGAATCATTAAACAGGACTTTTGCACCCAGTTGTCTCAAAAAT